ATGCCTATCGTATAAACTTAAAATTGTCATACGAATATCATTAGTGCTTGTATTACGCTAATTTGAATTTTAAATATTTGAATAAGTATTTGATAATGCCAATGCATGTACATAGGTACGTACCTACGACGTACCAGGTATTTTTTCATTGTGCAATCGACCTCTTGGAGACAAAGGCTCTTTAGTGACTCAGTCCCAGCCCTAATTTATCTCCTTTTTTCAAGATTGACCCATTCATTTTTCCTAATATGGCAGTTAATAGAAATTGCATGTAACATCGCCTTGAATTTTTTAAATAACCAGTTTGTGATTTTCACAGTTGAAATGTCCTGCAAACTCTCGGAGCAAGGATCATTATTTATTGCTAGATTATGATAAGCTTATTATTAATTTACCGCAGTTTGTCGTCTGTGACTTACAATGTTAAGGTTATATTCATTAAAATGAAGTAGATTGGTCAAATAAAAGATTAGAAATGGGTACTAGACGACAGTCTCTGTTTGAGCCTTTTTTGGATTTATAATATTAATAACTGAATTTTTAAATGGTTAGTATTTTAAATAATGTAAACAATACCGCGTGGAAAAAAAAGATTTTTTTTAATGTGCTTGTTAACTGCTTAAAACAATAACTAAATTTTGCAATTCAATTACTTGAAATACTAAATATATAAGATTAGGGTATTAAGACCGTTAAAACATTTTGATTTTTATGAAAATATAGATGGAGCTGCTTACTAAACGTAGCGCTTCTTTAAGCCTCTCTGGAACTTTTTCATTGGGAAAATAATGAGAAGCATAGAAGAATATAATATAATATAAATATTTTTTTACGACTATTTTAGAATGTACCTAAGTATTTTGACATTTGTTATAGAATATTACATTCCAACCTTGTTAGAGAATGAGTACTAGTAGCGACATCTATTGGCGGTTAATCTAAGGGATGTTAACTAATGACTCATTAGTAATGATCAGTAAGCCTGGCCAAAGTCATTAATCCTATAGAGACGTACTGGGTATGCATCATATCATAATACTTGAATAAGTACAATAATAAAAACAGAAATATTTTATATATTGTGATGTATGTTTTTGTACTATTTCGTTCGCTTTAAATTCTTTTTTTATGTATTTCCTTATATTTTGTAAGCTTAGTGCTGCACATTATTATTAAACTGTTAAATGACGTTCACACATGTACATTGTATATCTAAGTGATAACTAATAATAAATAAATAAATAAATAAAATAAATTTTATTAATACTGGTACACTTTATAAACATATGTACAAAACTCACCTTCTTAAGCAGATTTATGAAGTAGCTTGGTTGTCGTTATCACAAACTGGAGCACTTCTATAATAACTGTGTAGCATCAGATATGTTTCTACAGTTGTCTCAGTAAGCGATGTTCGCTGTGGTGAAAAAATATGTTTGTATTTTGAAAAAGACCGTTCGACATCTACGGAAGTAATACAGGCATAAGTAAAACACTCTGTGAACTCACTTAACGCAGCTGTAGATGCACCATCACAAATTTGTCTTAATTTGGTAAAATCAGGATCTTGTCGTAATACACTCGAATTTTTCAATAACGGGCTTATTTTTTTGCGTCATTTATAGTCTGTAGCTGTGTATTTACGTCGTCCACTATTTGCAGCGATTCCAATAACGACAACGAAGTATTTTGCAATTTTTCTATTGCATTTATAATTGTTATAAATAGTTTTTAAATCTGTTTCAAGGGAAACATCTTGAAAGCTTGTCTGGCTTTCCTTAATAGCTGCAGCCTCGTTAGGGTTGAACTGTAGTATCACAGCTTTTATTTGTTGAAAATATTCAGCATAATAAAAAGCTGCCTTCAACTACGTTCCCCAACGTGTAAGAATCGGCTCTGGTGGTTCCGGAATACCAGAACACAGTGTGTGAAATGCTCGAAGCCGTTTAGGAGATTTGAGAAATACTTTTTTTGTATTTGCTATTAATGCATCTACCTCTGGAAAACATTTTCGAATCGTTTCTGCTACAAGATGGAACGCATGCACTTTACACGTAACATGTAAAACCCTACAATCGTCTCTTTGAAGAAAACGGCCCACCAAACGCATTGTCACAGCACCGTCGGTCACAAACATCAACACTTGACTTGTTGATAGTTCAAATTTTTCGTAAGTCTCCAACACCACCCGCGTAATTGTTTCGCCAGTACACACAGTTAGTCTTTTGCTAGCTAGTAAAAGTGGAAATGTTTATTTAACAGGGTCGAGTACACGCACTATAACATTTAAAATAATTTTTTTTTACAATCTGTCGTCTCGTCAACACATAACCACAGCCGTGTATTTTTTAATGCAAATTTAATCCTATTTACAATGTCTTCACGAACACTTGGTACATATCTACGTAACGATGAACGACTTGGTAAATTCACCTGGGGATTGTATTTATTCCAGAACTCCCGAAATGCTGGTTTATCCAATATGCGCAGGGGAACATCACAGGCAATCAGCATTAACAGTAAATCAAACATAAACTGAGGTTCCAAAGAAGACACGCCATTTTTTAAATTTTTATGCCGGTTACTATTGACATGAATTTTGCAGCCGTATTTATTCCAGCACATTAAGTCTTGATCACAAACTTTACAAATTATTTTACATCCATCATAGTATAAATCCGGAAGTTCACCGATAAATTTATTCACTTTATCAGCGGACGGACGTTTTCTACTCTTTACGCTCATCATTCTTTATTATTTGTGAGTACTCTATGCATCGACCGACAGATAACAACTGAAGTGTGTCGTGTCATCGTCATCGTAAACAAGCGCGCGATGGCATTGGTATTGCGCCCGACCCTGAATCTACCATCGCTTGCCCAGGCTTACTAATGAGGGCTACCGCGCCTGAATTCACGACAGGCGCTAGTGTAGGGTAAGGTACAGAAATTTCAAATGTCAACGAACGTTAATGTTTATTATAGCTTTTAAACGCGGGTTTTTAGTGATTTTTATAAAAATTAACTGAAAAACATTTAACACAATGATAGCAAAAGGGGAAAGTAGTAATTTATTTGCTCAGTAGGGAAATTATTGTACCTATCAGATGTGTCTTATGTCATTAAGGTTAGGTGATATCAAGCATGAGCATGATGAAAACAATGAATGTGCATGATTACTGTTTACGATTTTCTGTAGTAGGGTGCTTTGGTAACGTATAATTGTCAGGATTAAAATGTTTCTTACAAATACGCGAAAGTTTCGAGGGAGTAAACTTATCCCTGCGAATTGCTACCAATCACTGTTTTAGGCGAATTTTGTCTCTCGGAAACATATGTCCGCATTTTGTTTCCGACAAAATGGAACTGCACAACATTGAGGCATAATTAACAAGTTTTCTTATTTACTGGTGTACGAAATAATTATAATAAAACCCTATAAACTTATTCCACGCCTAACAGTAACTTTTGAGAGCTACCAACGGGCCAATTGGTGAGCCTAAAACGGTAGCACTCATTAATAAATTATAAACACGGCATTTCAGTAATAAATATTAAATAACTGGTGTTGATATTCTAATTTTACCATGAAATAAGACCTGTTTTATTATTTAAATTAAACAATTCTTTTCAAAACAAACTAAACTAACTTTATGATTTAGTCATAAAACAAGTATATTCTGTAATACCAAATGTATTACAGAAAGGCTATACCGCACTCGAGGACCGTCCCTCTCGCCATTCGGCTCGGGTGACAAACTTTCCACTCGTGCGGAATAATATGCCATATTCCAAACTTGTTAGAGAATACATCTGGGTAATACATCTACGCATTTAATCGACCAAAAACATATTCCAAAACCACCTCCATGAAAGCTAATACACATTTTTAAACAATGACCGAAGAACGAAATATTTAATAACATATTTTACATATTTTTATTCGATTGTATTGAAAAGTGGTTTTTTTTGTCGAATATCTGGACAAAAATATGTGGTTGTTAGGCGGCTACGTATCCCGGCCGAAAAGTACTTTTTCTACGACTGTAAAAAAGTCACTTTTCCGCACGCATTTTATTTCAGAAAGCTGCACTTTCCCGCACTAGTGTTGAAAAGTACAACTTTCTGAAGTAAAGTACATGCGGAAAAGCGGTTGTTTGTACAAAGTTGTAGAAAAAATCATGTTCTAACTCATGCGGAATGTGTTTTTCCCACACTCGATTGCTTGCCCGAACTGCTCCGCTTCGTTCCGATCAACAGCAATCGCGTGCGGGAAAATACCACTTTCCGCACTAGTTAGGAAAATAACTATTTCATCCTGGGACAAAAAGTACTTTTGAGACGATAAACAATTATGAAAAAAAATAATGGATACCTTGAACAAATGAAACAAACTGTCATGATATTTTTATTAGATTATGTCAAAGTGACGTGAAGTCGAATACGATCGGATTTTCTCAAATAATATAAATATAATAAATAAAAATTTATCATTTTTTTCTTACAGTCGAATAAAAAAATAGTTTATGACACGCGGACGAAAATGTTTTTTTGTACTCATACGGTTGCCGATCTCTTCCCCTCGCCCGACAATTGTCCGTAATCGCACAGAAAACTACATTTTTCGTCCTGTCATAAATAACTATTTTTTAGCAAAAAACCCAAAACATTTAAAAGATTACTTTTTCAAAGTCATATCTTTTCGGTGAAAATTGAATCACATCTAATATTCCATAAATTTATTAATCAATTTGGCTACTGTCATCCTGGCATGATTTATTTGTTGTCCATTACAAGTGGCATTGTTGTCATAAGTCTGAAAGTAAATAAAAATCAGTGTGAAATTTGAAACAAAAACTGTTATTAAACATATGTTACATACGTTTTTCTAATTTGTTATTCTCTATTATTGAAAAATGAACGCTAGAAGACACCTCAACTCCAATGATGTGACACGGGCAGTTACGCTTTTGCAAGAAGGCGATATGTAAGCCAAGTGGATTGATGGTCTAATGGTAAGGACACTTGCCTCTGACTCTGGAGTCCCGGGTTCGATCCCCGGTCGAGGAGCTGGGATTTTTCTGAACCACAAAGTAATCCCTGCATACTCGGACATTGGATGTGTGTCCATTGTCTGTAAATGTGTAGCTCTCCTCCACACAAAGTACTATGTGTCCAACCGAGATTTCACTTACCATAACTCTGTTATGTATGGACATTTTTGAAAATTTTGAAAACTAGGAGAAAATAGACCTCTTTTGTATCCTCAGACGCTAGTCGAGGTCTTTTTGCAATTTCTGACCAAAACAATATCGCGGCGACACCCTGTACATAATGCAATAATATTCGGTTTATGCAATGTTTTCTATTTTCAGAACTATAGGGTTTCATAGGTCTATTGCTTTTAGTTTTCGTGTTATTGACCCTAAAAATTTATATATCAAAACTTTTTTAAAAAATCTATAGGTAACTAAAATTATGAATTAAAATCTAATGTTGCCTATTAATACAATTAATAAAATTTGTCATTTAATAAATTAATCAATACAGTAATACAATGCCTCTATAAATGATTTTCTACATGAGACCCATTTTTCTCATTACATAATCTAATTCTTTTAATGTTCGTTCAAATTGTCTAACATATAACTATTATTAATTTGATTAATTAAATCTACTATTCTTCTTCTTATTTCATCTAATGTGTTAGGTCTTCTTTTATACACTTCATTGTTTAAGTAACTCCACAAGAAAAAAATCTAGAGGGTTAAGTCTGGGCTCCTTGTGGGCCATCTTATCTCCGTTTTTTCCAATACATTCATCGAATGTATCATTAAAAGATTCGTTTTCCTACTATTGTTGTGGTACGGAGCACCATCTTGTTGATAAATTATATCAAACGCTTCACTTAATGGGATATTATGTAATTCATGTATAACATAATCATTTAGCAATCGGAAATACGTTTCAGCATTCATATTTTCTTCAAAGAAATAATAAATGCTACTATTGTATATTCCAGCCCACATTTTAAGGGTTGAGCGCCCTTGAAACTGAGTTTGATTTACTATGTGTAAATTTTCTTGAACCCAGTAATGGATGTTTTTCCTATATCCATACCCTGATGTCGTGAAACTAGCGTCATCAGTCCAAAATATTTTTTTGAAAATATTTCTATCTTGTCTATATCTTTCCAACATTATCTGGCAAAATTGTCTTCTTACAATACAATCGGTAGGATACAGCTTCTGAACGTTAAGTGGCTTTCTTGCAGTAAACGCATGTTTTATCAGTATGTATACCCACAGAACGGATAAAAGAAGTATGTATACCTATAACCAGCACCAGCAGTCGAACGAGGTATATTGAACTCTCTTGTAATGTCCCTTAGCGAATTTTGACAATTGTTATCAGTAAAATAGTTTATTACATTTAGTTCTCTATTCTCATTTACCTGCCAACGTCTCTTGCGATTTTTAAGGGCTTTTGTCTCCATCGTTTTGTTGCAAATATTTTTGAAGGTATTTTTATGCGGAATTCTGCGACCAGGATACATTTGCCAATATTGTCGTCTTGCTACAGCCATATTCATATTATTCCCTATATAAACTTTGTGAAAATATTAAGCCTAATATCTTCGCTATGATACATTGTTTAACAATTATTACACGAACCACAAGATTTGACAACAATAAGAAAGGTTTTGTTTTGAAGTGATAGCCTACGTGAATTATTTTAAAATATAAAAGAATCTATTATGATATTTCAATCTTTTTGGCCAATAACACGAAAACTAGAAGCAATAGACCTATGAACCCCTATATTTTTGAAAAGAGAAAATTTAGCATAAACCGAATATTGCCTTATATACAGGGTGTTATTTAAAGAAACAGTCGTCGCCATATTGTTTCTGTCAGAAATGTCAAAAAGCCCTCGACTAGCGTCTAAGAATATAAAAGAGGTCTATTTCACCTAGTGTTCAAAATTTCCAAAAATTGTCATAAAAAAAGAGAATTATGATAGGTGAATTCTCGATTAGACATCCTGTACATTGAAGTACCTTCAGGGATATCTGTATTACCTGTGGTGTATTACCTGTACTGCTGAATGTGCCTCAGTCTGTGGTCTTTAGACTCTGGAGACGGCATCAAGAGACAGGAAGACCTGGACAAGGCCACCACAGAGCCAAAAGCGCTCCCGATGACAGATTTCTTAGACTGCGGCCCCATTTGCATTTACCCATTACTTTTGCGTCGGCATATGCACAAGGAAATACAAAAAGACTTGTTCAGGATAACGGTATTTCTATTTGTTTTTTAGTAGCAAATGTGGCAATGATATCGATAGTACACGACAGTGGCGGCTCGTGATTTTGTTCACAGAGGAGGTTTGAAACTTAAAAGGCAACTAAATTTTAATATGATTACATTGATTACAATTTGCACATTTTCCCACCACCCTTGAGGTAGTACAACGGCGCGTTACATTTTTTTGTCATGGGTTGATCGCCAGAGTAGCCCTACTATCCCACATGTAATTAAATTATAACTCCTAATAAAAATCAAAATAGTTTTGGAAAAAAAATTATAAACAAGTGTTTTTCTACAAACAAAAAATTGTATTCATTATCACTGCCAGAGTGTAAAATTATTACTTTTAATAAAAATTAAAATAGTTTCGAAAAAGAAGTTATATAGAAAATATTTTCAAAAAAATAAATAACATAAATAAATATTTCTTCTAAAATAATAACTAACTATATTAATCCTTGGTGTAAAGTCTAAATATTTTTATAAATTAGTGGTAACCTGCAATTTTCAGAACTAGCAAAATGGTTGATTACTTCTTCATAAAATGAAAATAAATCATTTTTCTTCAACTATGACAAGAAGCGTTTTTCTATTGAAATAAGTGATATATTTGACAGGTGGTCTTGAGCTATTGTGTTTCTAATAAATGTTTTTGTGCGTTTGAGTGCTGAAAACGATCGTTCTACAGAAGCTGAGGTTACCAGAATTGTTGACACTAAAGATAAAAGTTTGTACAGTTTGGAGAGACAGCTTTTTAAATTCTTATTATATATAAAAGTTAGCATTCCTTGAGGCGATTTTGAATTTGGCAAAAAGTTGCTGGTCAGAATACAACACACATAGTTCATTACTTAACGAAATACGGTTGAAAAAGGGACACTGGTCCATTAATTTGTTCATTAGACTGTTATGAAATGATTTAGAAAACATTATAAAATTATTAGAATTTATAAAATCGAAACATTGCAAAGTATTTATATAGGAAAATCTAATTTCAATGTGATCTATAATGGTGTCCAAAATATCTGTAAACATTTGTTTGTAATGTATGTCTGTCCTGTCAAAGTTATATGTTGTCTTTCTTTTTTAAAACTGTGGCTCATCATCATCACCATTATATAAAGGATTGAAATGTATTTCGTTATTGCGAAATTCTTTTAATTTAGATATAAGTAAATTAAATCTATTTTTTTTAGGATATGTTATATCAGTTAATTTATTCTGTAAAATTTGAAAGACAACATCAGTTGGCTCAAAAATTTTGGAAAATACGTTTTTGAAAAATCTATTAGCTCCTTGAAATTTCCGTTATTATACGAATCGCGTTTTTCGTCATGTCCTCGAAAAGAATTTTCTTGAGAAGATAAATATATAACGGCATCAATTAATCTCTTTAATATTTCCCTATTTTCACTGACTTTTTCATTAAAATTTTTTATTTTTCTTTTATGCGCAGAATCCAAAAAATTTATAATATTTTGTTTACCCAACATTTCGAATTTAATGCAAGATGTAATATGCTCCTGAGATTTTCATGCCTTTCTAAACCTCGTGACAAATTTTGCAAATTATTAAACCCGGCTCTGCCCCAAATTGAGGATTGATCATTAGTAAATAACAAACATTTCCAACAATATAATTTCTTTCAAACTGCTGATGCCGTTAACCACTCGATTTTTTTGATAATTGCTATCGCTAAATCCTCTGATTTGTTTACCACTTGTGAAAACTAATGAGGGCATTCATTGACGGTGTAGGTCAGACCATTTTTTTAATGCTTACCTTTCGATCATAACTAAAAGGACTAAATCCATTTAACAACAAATAATCCACCACGTCCGGAATATTTTCACCTAGAGCACTCATTTTCAACTACTTGTTAAATATTTTATGTATGTTTATGTTCTCCCACGAAACCACAAATTGCCATTGTCCTTGTTCTAGAAACTATTGTGAGAGACGGGATTAACGCTCAACTGAAATGTATATGCGCTAGAAAGAGATGGGATGCTAGAGGCTAGCTGCCCTAACTTTACAGATCCAGAATGTTTGCTGCTACGCGCTATAATTCAAGGTCACGAACAATGTATTGAAATGGGGGGTTAGCTCGCCGCTAGCCTCAAATCATCCAAGCGCGATGAGAGACTGGGAAATATGCATACGTGGAGTGGACTATCCGGACTACAATGTTACATGTTTCTGGAAAGGAATTGCAAAATTTTTTTTTCGCTGAAAATTAATGAATTATAAACAACATTGAGAATTGAGATATACCTAAGTAGAAATTTCTACTTGTGAAAAATATTAGTTTGAAGATATTCTGCTTCCCCCAAAATTGTAAAGGAGGCTCAGCCTCCCCTGCCTCCCCTGACCAGCCGCCACTGGTACACGAGCGAAATAAATAAATCCGGTCTTTTTTGGACCACGTGGTATGCCTAAGTATTTATCAATCAGCGTGGTTCGTGCTGCAAAAACGAATGTAAAAATATCACATCTAAATCTTATTTAAATTTATTAGAACGTCCTTCAGTTGTGGATATTTATTTATTGGGTGTAGAAAATAGATAATGATATCTCTGACAAAAACTGATAGCAACACATTTTTCTTGGGTCTATTATTACTTCAATGAAAAACATAATGTAATATGCCAAAAACACTCGCAAAAATTTTAAAAACCAGCTTTTAACACATTTTGTTCTGGTCACATCCTTGATTAAAATATATTAAAAAATCTTTTGAAACTAAATTCCATTTTTGTT